ATTTCTGCAATATCTTGACATTTATTTCAATTGTACAATATTGAAGTTCAATTATTTGTATTCAATATTCTTTGTTCACATAAAGTAAAACATAGAAACATCAATAGAAAATACCCAATAAAATATTTAATGAACGTGTTGTGTTGAATTTAAATACTATTTCTTGAGCTGTAAATAACGAGTTCTGATTGAATATAAAAAAATCGGATCCGTCCTTTATTCAATTTTTTCGAAGTTCTAGATAAAATACTGAACTTACTTTTTTTAAATCACATCATTTTCATATTTATTATAAGTATGTGTATCATGTGACATTTTGAAAGCATATTATTTATTTATACTTAAAAACCTATTTATTCTCTGGCAACTATTTACGTATACTAAAAGTCATTTTCCTTTTATATTTTCATCAAGTATGTTTATTAAAATTTACGTTTTATGCATAGAATAATGTTTGTGAAACTTAATTTTAAACAAAAATAGCTTGGAGATAATATATTACATCGAGGTATATCTAATTATTACAAATAAAATGTATTAATTATTTTTACAATGTTTTAAATTTGAGTCCGGTAGTTTTTTTTCGCGAGAACATCGTTTTAACTTTTATAAGTTTTAAAAATTCGATTATGCATTTTCAAATAAAATTTCACTAAGTCAAATAACAATATTTTTTATAAGCCACATAAAAAGTAAATTACGGTGTCTTACGTTTCTTAATAGTATTAATATAAATTTTATTATTGATATACTTTTAAACATAAGTCTTATTTCTTCAAACATAGTTAATTACTTAACGAAAATGTTTATGACGTTGAAAGCGAAACAACTTTATTTATCATATTATGTTGTTTCAAGTTAGGTTTTGTTTTAGACAGGTTCATTACAATGTACACTATTTCGAATAGTTTAGTATTATCTATGAAATTATTCATTTATTATCTAAAATTTAATATTTCATAGTCTTTATATTTTTTATAATTTGTTGACCTAAAATAAAATACTTAAACATACAAAATATAAATGTTTATATTTTATTAAAAAAATAGTAATAACTCTAGTATATATTTAAAAATTTGTTGAATAGTTTAGTGTGTTTATAATATTTCTGTATCTTTTGACGTATATGAATGTTAAAATCGTTAAATGTATANCACGTAAATATCTCAAAATTATTGAAATTAATTACTGAAAATTATGACAAATATTTATAATGTTTAAATACTTAAACATACAAAATATAAATGTTTATATTTTATTAAAAAAATAGTAATAACTCTAGTATATATTTAAAAATTTGTTGAATAGTTTAGTGTGTTTATAATATTTCTGTATCTTTTGACGTATATGAATGTTAAAATCGTTAAATGTATAAATTAATTTCAATACAATTTAATTCATCTTTTTTTTATTGTATTCATTGAGTACACCTGCTTAATATATTTTATTTTAAAGTATACGTGTTAAAATAACCGACTCAAAATTAATAATTCAAAATTTTATTAAGATTTTTGTTTTGTTTCCTTAATAACATAAATATTTTAATTGTAAATTACATGATTTTTTTACATAATTTTAATATTTTTATTTTACAGTAGAGGATTTGAAGGGACGGGTTTAAAAAGTTTTTAGGCGGAAATTTGAAGATATTGTTTTTTGTGTCATATTTTTATTTATTTTTCTTATTAGATCACAATGGTAACCAAAATATTCCAAAAAAATTATTTTTACAAAATGATCTTTAATAAAACAAATTGAGCTAAACTTTTTTATGTAATAAAATCTGAATAAGTGATTTTAATTGTAAATAACACCTCTCTCTTATAATAATGTAATTCTACCTTAAAATATCAAAATTGATATTTAGCTAAGATACTATCAACCATTATTTTATGTTTACTAATTTTATGATAAACTAAAGTGTTTTCACCTCTTAGTTTAAATCTCAATTGATCTTTCTTTTCCCAACTATTCCATATGTATAATAGGACACTGAACAAATCATTTATAATGATATTAAAATGAACATTTTTTAATGATAGTCTAACAATGTTTTAATTAGCCGAGTATTACTCATAGTATATATTGTGTGCTACCTACGATCTAAAAAATAACTATAAATTATTTTCTCTCGAATACAGTTAGTATGAACAATACACCTTTCATATACGTACAAAATAAATCAATATTTACATATATTTCAATGACAAGGGTATAATTAGTCACAAACTTGATATTTTGTTCAAATTCTATATACTGTAGTACAAATAATTATTCATAATAATTAACAAAATGACAATGTCGTGAAAATAAAAGTAAATGATATATATATTTAGGATGTAAATCATTTTTGTAAATATTTAAAAGCCGATTTTTCATGTGAAAACTCATTCTTGTTTAAGCTTTACAAAAGTCAAATTTATAGCTCTAAAACTAAACGGAAAAACAGTTTTCATAAATTTTTGTTTCGGTGCAATAAATTAATTTTATAAAAGAAGAATTTTTAATAAATTACATTTTTAACTGACACTGTCATATATTTTTTTAAAAATATGACAGTCAAATAAATATTTCCGTTATAGTACTTAGGAAGAAATTTAAATGGTAAATTAAGGATTGGTTACTTAATGAAATGTATTGTAATTGATTGGTTTGGTTTTTAACATAAATCAAAAACGATCATCAAGTAACTAAATAAACATTGATTTTTAACTAAAATGTATACATTTTATAAATACTAAAATTTTACATTTAATCAAAAAATTGAAACGCTCACGTTTTAATTTTTCGATAAAAATGTGTAGTTTAAATTAATGTGGAATGATATTCTATCTTGAAGCGCAACGATACGACAAATTATAATAAGCCAAAGGACATTAAGGTACACCAGTAGATTTATAGCTAGTCGATTTATTTAACTTTTCCCAAATGCTTACGACAGAACGATAATGGTTTTATGTTTAAATGCTCACATTACATCTAGCGGTATCAGCAAAAAGTATTATTGTAGATTAATGTCTGAGGAACGCAGAGACGATATTTATTAATTGACTTTCTAGTATCATTTACCGTGTCTATTTAGAAACCAAATATTTCACGTATTTAAACAAAATTTATATACTTAAATTAATGTTAGCGACTCGACTTAAAAACCACGTTGAAGTCATGGTTTGATTAAATGAAAACATTATGAACAGAAACATGTGAAATGTGTTCACGTTTTGTATTATTTAAAAATAAACACTGGACGCGACTCAGCAAGTTGACAAGTTTGTGATATTAAAATATGAATAATTAATGGTTTTTTCAAATAAATTATTGATAATGGTAATTTATGATTTGTATTATCGTTAATATAAATTACCTGGGTACTCGGGAGGATTGCGTGTGCGTCTTTTGACTGCGGCAGCGTTGAAAAAGTTCGCCGACCGATTAACGAGTAAATATTTTTAATTAAAAACAACGATAGAAAATAAATATTGATAAAAAATTTGTTTTACTTTAAGTCGCGTGATGATGGTCGCCGACACGGATAACGTGCCAGATGGACAGGCGGGTGATAGGTCACGTTCGGCGTATGACGCCGGACGACTGACTGGGAAAGACCTCCGAAAAAAGCTCCAGAATTCGCCACCGTGGCCAACGCAAGCGCCGTCATCCACACACCCTCGGACGAACATTCCTGTCCTTCATCGCATCCTCACTCTCAATCGCCAATCACTTTTGTCCGCTGTTCTCTTTACACACGTAAGTGGTTACCCTTACAACAATAACAACCAACTACCTCGTATCTAATGTTAACCCAACGAGAATTGGGTTAAGCTAGTAAAATTTTTCTTCTACTATTTTTAACTATCATCGAGCCAAGGACGTTTAACATTATGGTAATAACACTAATGCAAATCTCACAACCGGAAACACGTTATTATTGAAAATGTAAAGCATAAAAGCTTTTACGGTTTACCCTTCTTTTTCTTCATTAAGAGGACTGTCACTACAGAACTCGCGTCTACTAAATTACTTCTAAAGAAACTCAAGACCACAAAACCAAGTTGTTATAAGACCACTAAATCGCAAACAACTTTATTATCTTTATCTCTACTCTATTAACAAGTTCAAAGTAAAAAGAATTTCTTACTTTTTGTTTGGCGTATTTTTTTGCTTAAAAACTTATTTGTAAATGCCATATTAATTTGATTAAAAACTGTTTGATAGTCAAGAACTTATAAATTATGTTTTATTATTGAACTGATTTTTTTGTTCAATCTAGTTTAATAAGTACCGCGGTATATCTTTGATATCACGTCCGCTATTGTGCAAACCAATATAGTAACATCATCACAGAATATATTTTTATTAACAGCATAATCTACAGTCATTTCTGTCTCCTCGTAATACACCCGAGGGTTAAGTAATGACACTGCGATAAAATATATAGAACATGTAATCGTGTTTTCAGTTATCAGTTTTTTTTTTATATGGGTTTCATAAAGAATACCGTTAAGTTCAATAAATAGTAAAGAATTATAAAAAGTCATGTCTATTTCCTTAATTGCAATAGAATTCATCATACAAATAAGTTATATAAATTAACTAGAGTGCGTAATACATCAAAGTTATTTGAACGTAAAACTGAACCATCAACTATAAATTAAAAAATTAATTAATTAAGGAATACCTTGAACTAGTTATTATCAATTTTTTTTTTCATATTTAATCATGTATAACATTTCTTTATATTGTAATTAGGTTCACGCTTGTTTTGTAATAACATTAAATAAATAAATAATTAAGATTAAGAGCTAGGAAATTTATATTTTTCTAATTGATTATTAATGATAAATTTACATTTTGTTTTGATTCTATCTAAATTATTATAATATATCTTTAATTAGATGGGTTAAGGAGTTGTAATGAATCAAAATAGAAGTTTTGAGACTATCCGAGAAACTTCTAGAATAATCTTTATACAAATAATTATCAATTTTAAATACTTTTCTGACTGACTATTATTTTATTACTTTTTACAAATACATCGTTCATTTGGAGCGATGTTTACATTAATGTCCATCTTTTTAATTACCATAAGCGTATCTGTGGCGCCGAACAGACGGCAAGATTAAATAGTTAAATTTTTAAGAAAAACTAGCCTCCCTTCATTACCTTACCAACTAATTTAATATAAAAGGGCTAGTAAAATTAGCACAAACACTCTCTTTCCATTTTATCTCTCTCGCATACTCTCACTTTCATTTTCACTTATTATTCCCCCATAATCTTACACTTTCATATTAAAAGTTAATAATGTAAAATTCACGTTACTTTTGTTAATTTTAATTATAAGACTTATATATATTTGTCAAAATAATTAATACAAGTTATAGAAATAAACTCAGTATGTTGCCCCTCATATCTGTATTTTTATTTATTTAAATTAACTTAAAATATCGACATCAACAAGGAACATCACAATTCACCATCTATCTACGAATCCATTTGGACATCAAGGTAAGTGTAGTCTTAAGACATGCACTATATTCATGTAATATTAAGAAATAGGACAGAGTGGATAAGAGGTAGGATTAAGATGATATGAATGAATCTAATACAATTCAAATAACTTATAATCCCTTTCCTACTATCTCTATCTTATCGCCTCCCCCTATTTTATTTTTTTATTACAGAGTTTAAAAGTTTTATATATATAATCAATGCAGTTGTTAATAATAATATTTGTCAGGTGGTTCAATTTTTCGATTGAAGTTTAAAAATGAGATAAAAGTAAGAAAAATATATCATTAAAACATGAAATATATCTAAGGACATAATGTTGCTAAAAGCCAATAAAATCATTCATAAATACACTTACCTATATTTATTCAAGATAATTGAGCTTTTAATATTAATACAGTCAAAACAAGAGTAAATATACTTTAATATACAGGTATATTTTATGCTTAAAATTTCAATATTTTTCTTCAAAAGAAATTTTAATAGATTCTATTAAGATTACCATTTAAGATGTTCAATTATGAAAAAAATAACTGGTGTGTAAATACTTATTGACGAGATTTTTATTAGATAACGAAATTTAAATACTGGGACTGAGCAGTTTAAAGACTGGTACAGCTTTATACTTTTAAAATAGTACAGTTGGCATCTTGCCCATCCATTTTAAGTTTGTTGATAACACATAAATTATCCAAAAGTTGTTATCGACTAGTGAAAACTGTTTACAATAAAATTAAAAATTATTTACAATTAACTTTTTGTAGAAATATGTCATTATAAGTTAACATATTTTATGTTTTTTTAAATATATAATGTTTTCAAAAGGCCTAGTGTTCAAATTTCAAAAAATATATAAACAAATAAATATTCCTTAGAATTAGTTTTATCATTAATTTTCTCAATTAAGAAATTACAAAACAACTCATAAATTATCAAATGTAGAAGCAAAGCATTTGGAAAACTTAACAATCAATAAATTAAATAACATCACGGCGTGATAAATGTAAACTCAATTTTAATCTAATTAAAAATAAAAAGCGAAATATTTATTAGATCTTATGTACTAAATGAAAGAAGCATTTTATTACAAAGACAAGTAACAAGACAGTTATTTATTATTAGATACTATAGTGTGATGAGGAAAATTGATTATTATTATTCTCTTATTTATGAGAAATCTTGAGAAAATACAAATTATGTACTGTAAGTTATTGTAAAAAAAATCTGATCAATTGGAAAACAAATATTACACATTCATAATTTGTATTTTATTATTAATATAAACTTTTTAATTTTTTAGTGATTCAGTGTACAATAAAATAACCTTTGAATTGTTATTCCCAAAAACTTACTGTTCACCTATTATCTTTTCTGCTACATTAAATGTAAACATAGTATTATTCTTTTAACGATTTATAAGCCTATTAAGAGCCGTAGCGGCTTCCTTCAAAGGATGAGACTTCTTAACTATTGATACTCTGGGGCGGATGATAGGCCCGTCACCGGAGAGAGAGAAGGCGACTCCAATTACCGAACTGATCTCTCTAAATGAAGTCGCCCGTGACCGAGTTTCGAACCCGAGGCAGTGCGCGCCAAACGCTGCCGCGTTATCGACTCGGTCACACCGTCTCTCTAAACATATTATGTCTGTAATAATTTTCTCTTAACACTTCAGAAGCAGTCAGTAATAACATAATTTTATGCGTTGGCATATTTCTAGGGACTATTGCATTTCTGCTCACTTAAGTGCTTGCAACTTAAGTCATTAACACTTACCTTCACTTCCCTTAGCTGAGTTGCTGACTAAATACGAAGTAAAAAAACCTAATTGTTACCAACTTCCCATTTCGTAAATAATTTTTTTAAGTAAAAGATCAGTAGTAATTTTTGGAATATATTTTCAAAGATTAAAAAAACAAATTTACTCACAACGAAAATTTAAACAAAATTTGTACTAATGGATATCCTGCAAAAAGAGATACAAACTTTTACTAAAAGGATACTTGTGCATTTTCCTTTGTAAAATAATCAATGTACAATGTAATACTGACAAATTAAAAACTAATACATTTTTTTAAAATCATCACTATTAAACTCAGATGAATTAATTATTTTTTACTAGTATATTATAGTACCATCTACTTAATTTATATCTGAATCTTGATCTATGTATATTCAATTTAGAAATACTGTTTACGTGTAATATTACAATATTACCAATTGGCTTATATCCAAAAGCTGATATATCACAAAAATGGATTTTGAGATAATTTATAATTTATATAGAGAAGGATGTTATTTGTCATATTGGGTGTGCCAAAAATCACAAGTCAATTTTATTGAGAAGGTTCGTTTTTTTGTAATTCAAAAATATCAATTTCCATAAGACACGATTTAAATTTTTTATTTGATTTGCTCTTCTGAAACATTGCTAAAGTGACATACCAGCTTTTGGATGATATCCATAAATTAATTTTAAGTGAAGATTTATCGAGCAATGAATTTCTATTGTTTTATTTTATTAAATATATAATTATATTGTATTAAAAAAACAAGATTCACCAAAAACTAATTTTATTATTGTTCAAATATGCTGCTATATTGTAATTGTCTGACATAAAGAGAAATCATTATAAACTCCAAACAATGGACTTTATTGACGATGGTAAATTTATAATCGTTAGCGTTTCTTCCTTCCGCATCAAACAAAAATACCACAATATGACATAATAACATGACAAAAGGTTCACCAAGCTTTAGTAGAGTAATCACTTAAGGAGTGATGGTGGATCTTTAAATTACTATTGTTTTAATAATATCTGCTTTCTCAACTATAAACTTCATGACATTTGAACAGGAAACTATAACTTTAACTGATTTAATTTTATGTAAAAGTTATATTTATATATTAAGTTGACATGACATGTATTTTTCCATTATAATAGTAATTTTATTATAATATTTTATTCAGAATTTTATCTGTGTAATTCAAGTTTTAAACTAATAATATCTAAAGATTAATTGAAAATATCTTTTTTAGTACTAAAAAAATGTAGCCATTCTAGAAACCCAGTTATTTTTTAGCTTCGATGCGAAGCTGAGAAGGTATTTTTTAAATATTGTTATATTAAAAACTTGGAGGGTAATTTTCATAATGAAAATACCATTTAGCAAAATTTTAAATATTTATAACAACAAAATATTATTTTTAATGAAGTATTTTAAATACATGTTATTTCTAACATAGGCTTTTAAAACTTTGCAATTATTTATAGTAAACTACGTTTTTAATCCAAAATATATATTTCGATATATTTCACGATATTTAGAAAATTGTGTTACAATACAGACTCCAAACAGGAGGTTATTTCGTCACCAGAGAAACGATAACGACTCCAATTACTAAACTGATTTCTCGCTCAGCAAACGGTGCCGCCCTTAACAAAGTCACAAACTCGAGGCAATGCGCATCAGACACTGTCGCGTTATAGACAAGGCCACACCGTCCTCATTTAATTAATTAATATTAATATTAACGTTTAATCAACTTACACTTTTATTCTTTGTGTAAATAAAATAAATCATTTATAATGATATGTACAAATAGATGATTGATTGAAACCATTAAAATTAGCAACATTATTTGGCCTTTTTTTATCAATATGGTCCCCTAGATAATTTATAATTAATATACATTCTATTAAAGTTTACTATAGAATTACTTAAAATCTATAGTTTAATTAAAAACTGTAGTAGTGAGGAGTAAAATATGAATAAACAATTCGAACTACAACTGACAATACAAAATGGCAGCTTTTAACAGTATGGTTTACAGATTAGTTAATATGTCGATGAATAAAGAGATTTCGATAAATAACTGGGAATCCTAAAAGAAATAACTAAATTTAATAGAAATGATGAATATATAATTTCAAAATATATTTGAATAACAAAGTAGAAGAAAAAAAGGATGATAGTAAGTACACTTACTAACGTGTAGGAGCAAAAAGTAATTAGGTCGCCTATATTATAATATCATTTTGAATGGGTTAGTTAGAATTTTTTTAGAATTTCGATATTATTCTACTAACTTTGTTGAGTAATAGCTTAAGAGATTTATTAAATAACCCTAAAGATTAAGTAGAAGAAGGGGGAAAATCGGGCACTTATAAAATACAATGTGAAAGTTTTAATAAATGTTACGCAGGAAAAACTAAAAGAAACATAGGGGTCAGGTTTAAAAAACACTTAAGAAACATAAAACATCAAGAAGTTGATAAAACTCTGGTGGCTAAAAATTTGTTGACATAGAATCAATTTTATACAAATAATTACAAAGAGCTTAATATAAGGGAGACAATAGAGATGTTTAAAATTAAAAATAATTAAATTTTTTCGGATGTAGATCCACTGAAAAAACTTGTGTAAACTGCCTGAGTGACGCCACTAAGGATATGTAAGAAAGAAATTTTTATTTATGTCAGTATACGTTTAGCGCCGGTAATAGTGAAATTGTTACCGAATAACGTACCTATAGGCGGATTTATAGTATTCTTTGTGGCTTTTTGAGTTAATTTTTTCAAACATTTTTAGTTTAAATTAATGTATTGAATATATTTTTAGTTTTAAAAAATTTGTTCTCAGAATTTTTTTTTTATTCGATCGACCGATATCCGTTAGAGCATTTTAATACATAGAGTGAGTATGTAGCGCAGGCGTGTACAACTCGTGTGTATGTACACTCAGACCAAACTATGTATTAAAATGCTTATAGCTGAATAGCTACTTATCTTAAAGCTGTTATCGACCCATAATATATTTTTTTAAGAAAATGGTTAAGAAATGGGTATTCTAAAATTTAAAAAAAATTTATTTTTATTTTTTAAGAGAAAAATAAAAATATGTTTTTAACGTAATCCAAAACTGTAAAAAATATTTTTTTAAAAATTAACTCAAAATATTTGCTGGTTCAAAAGTTATGAAAGATGTCAGAATGT